CAGTTGTTGTATTGACTAAGCTGAATCGGATATATGGAGATGTCCAGAAGGAAGAAGAAAGCTTCTCTGCTGCAGTTCTTTCTGCTTCTAAGGGCTTTCTCTCTGCTAAATTCCACTTACGATGTAGTCTGTCCATCTGAACAACAATCAGTACCATTAATTCTGATACTAGTCTACTCAGTGTATAATTTGGGGTCCTTTGTGTGTCCTCCCATACTCAGCTATAGTCCTACTATTCCCATTAGACAGACGGAAGGAAGTAGGAATAAATTTGCCACCTCTCTCTTTCTACTTTGATTTCTTTTGTTTTGTGTTCCACATAATGTCCTTCAATAGGATCTCTGCTGTGGTTTATAGGATATAAGAGCTCTGATCACCCACCTGTTTTGGGAGTACATAACTGGTTTTGTTCAAATTGGCAGAGATCTTATAAGTAGTAGGATTTATCTCATTATTTAATAATGTTTGATGACAATCAGAGTTTAGTGTAGGCAAAAGATTAAATTGTTCACTACTATACGCAGCACCTGCATTTTCCAGGTAGATTTCCAGGTAGATTTCTACCTTAAGATCAAGGTTCTCCTTTTGACTGCTTTTGTTTCTTTTTTGAAAAGCAAATTGGTACAGTATTGATCTGATTTCTCTGGGTATACTGTAAGATGTTTCTGCTCAGCTATAAATACAATGGGGTACGTCTCAGCAAAGGAATAATGATTGTAAAGCTCATGCCATGACACTTCAGTGCCTTTTAATGCTTGTTTGTATTTGCTGAAAAACACTTCCTACTTTTTCCAACCTGCTATGAGACAATGTTGTTGCATCACGATCCATATAAGACAGAAAAAGAAATTTTCTATGGGCCACTGTGCCCACTGTTTCAAAATGTCACAAGTTACGGTCACTGAATCTGTAGGTGTAGCTTAGAGTAAGGACCTGGTAAGGACCTGTCTTCACAGCTTCACCATTTTTGTATACTCCAAGGGATGGCTTAATTTTTTTTTTCTTTTTAACTTTGTATTTTCTTATCACTAGTGCTCAGATGCTTTTTGTAAATGATAAAGATTACACAACAAGGTGAAATAATACACACTGGCTTACTAACCCATCACTTTCATTTATTTGCTGTCAAAAAACATTTTACATCATGATTTGTTATAAAGGATCCGTTTTAGCAAACTACTCATTTTTAACATTAACCACATATCCCTAGAATTTGGTTAAAGATTTCCCCTCTTTTCTTCTGTCAACATTTCATTATGTAGCGAAGTAATATCAAATGAATACTCTTCACTTTCACTGAAACTGATGATTATTTTATTATACAGTAAGTATTGAGTAAATAAATTTTGTCTTTTCTTATCTCTAACTCAAAGTGTTCTGCATACGTAGTCACTTCTTTGTATGTAATAAAAATTATTAAGGAAGCTGCAACATCAAGGTCACTTCATATGTGATCCTTAAATTACAGGAAGTCAAAAATGGCGGAATAAATATGTATTAGAGAAGACAGCATTAATTCAGAATGTAGGTGTATCCAGTGCAGCTTCTTATCAGCTGAAATCTGTTTCCTGCATGATATGAAGAAAGACCAACATCCGCAAAAAGGACTGAAATTACTGTGCATACAAATAGGTACATTCTGGATGGTCACCTTGCTTACATATGATATAAGACATTTGATACAGCTTATTTCTAACTTCATAGCTTCTGTTTTGGGCTAAGTTAATTTATTAATGACTTGCAAATTAATCTTTCTGGGTCAAATCTATTCATGCTGGGATGTCTCTAGTGTTACATTTGGGATGGATTTGGTCCATTTTGTGTCTTAATTATTTTTCCAGAATATTGCCTCTAGAATCTAACAGTTGTAGTTACTCTACACACACCTAAATGGTAGATATAAATAATTAATACCACATTGTGGTCATCACTTACCAGGTCTACGTAAAGATATACAGTCAGAAGATCCTATGAAAAGAGAATTCTAGATTTGGATGCCTTATTATTATTGTTCTATCTGATCTAATACGAGATAAAGCTGTAGTGGGATAGAAGTCTATTTTACACCACAACTTTCGTGTCATGTTCAAGTTATTTGGAAAATAATGTATTTAATTCAGGTGGTGCAGCAAAAGTGTTTTTTCAATGTGCAAAATAAAACTTTAATTGTGATGAGTATATAGCTGACTTGGGTTATAGGACAGTACAGAACTACAACATGAAATGAATAGTGAAAAATCCATTCAAAATGTCTAATAAACATGATTAATGGATTTAGAATGATGCCAAAACACCCCACCCCAAAAAAAACCCAAATAAAATCCCAAACCCTATCTATCTTCTTCACTTCCATTGTTATTTTCAAATTTCAAGCTATAGTCCAACAGACTGAAATTAAATCTTTTCGTTTGAATGTCTTTCAGAGGTTAAGCTAAACAGTCTGTCACTCTCACAAAACCACCATACATGGACACGAAGGTCAAAAATCAATGAACAGAAACAGACAAAGAATTTTTTATAATCCTTCAGAAAAACCAAAACTTCGAAACAAACATTATTCTCTAAGTTGAAGCTACTGTTAACTACTTTGAGTTTGGATAATTGGATAATTAGGACAACAATTATTTTTATTCATGATTTTTTCACATTCTTTATCATAGACTAGTATACTGTAAGGCTGTGTAAAAATAACTTATATGCCATGTGAATCTATCTTGCTTTTACTGTAAACCAAGCAGAGGGAATATGAGTAAGAAAATTTATGTTTTGACAGTATTTTTCTCTCTGCCATGCTTTTCCTTCTTTTCCCCCAGACACTATAAGCTGCAGTATGCAAATAATATATTTTGGAGTATCCCATGAAGGTAGACACAACTCCGCCGAGATCAGGAAGCAAGTGACTTCCAGAGGTTCAGAACATATCTGAAAATACCTCTCAGCATATCATTTCCAGCTAGACAAATAGAGTTACCTACTTTATATACTGAAAAGCGATAGAATATCTATGCAAGCTTTAATCTCAGCTCATAACATGTAAGCAGATTCTTGAGATGTTTGCAATTGATTGCAGAAATATGGCCACGATACAAAGGTATGTAATGTCCTGATTATACCCTTCAGTTGCTAAAACTGATTTTTCTGAAATGTAAATTGTGTTATTAAGTGGACAACCAGAGCACCTATAAAATCCTTTCTGAACCTTTCGGCTTCTTGCTAATTAAAATAAAGAACCTTTTTCTCTGTGCGTAAAATGTAAAAAAAAAACCAACTAGAACAATAGCACTGAAGGAGATACATCAGCCACCAACACTGTTTTAATTCATAAACATTTAATAAAATATCATAAAATCAGACTGTTATAATTATGCACTTCATTAGTAATTTCCTATTGTTCTTCTTAAGATTATTTGTGAAGTTTATTTAATGTTACTTTCAATTTCTCCAAAGCCTACACTAAAGATGCCTTTGACTCAAAAAACCTGTCAGTGAAAAAAAAAAAAAAAAAAGAGTAAGATTTTGCCCATCTGTGAAATGGGAAAAATATCCTGCTCATTCCTCATCCAGGCTTTACAATGTTAAACAGGAATAATTCTGTAAACTGTGCTCAAAGGGTTTATTATTGTTGCTACTAATATTCTTCATGGTGCCACTGTCTCCAGTGATACTCAAAATGCTTAATATATATATATACATATAATTTCTTATTGAAAATTAGCCATTAGTGGGCCAGTATACAGAAATTTTTTATCAGTAAGCAACTGTGGAATATGAAGTGGCATTTTCTATAATGCCTGTACTTTGATCTGCCAATGAGTTACTCAAAGACCAAACGAAATGTCTTGCTCCAAGAACCTCTGAATCAGAGGTAGCCTTTGCAGAGTGGAAAATTACCAAATGCAGAACAAATAAACCAACAGTTAATAAAGGAATATATAGGATGCAAAAAATTATAAAGAAATTGTGTTTGCTGCAAAGAAAGTTTTATTTAATGGCAGACTAATGAAGGTCAAAGGAAATTAAGCTGGTATAAAAAAAAAAAGATGCAGAAATCAAAACATAGCAAAGCATTTGAATGGAACCATCACATATATACGAGAAGTCTTTTTTATGTGTCCAAAGAATGCTTTTAATTGGTAACAAAAAAAAAAAAAAAAGGGATTTTTGTCGATAGCGCTTTTTTTTCTTATTTTGTACCTTTTTTTTAACTTTGAATACCCTGCTTTCCTTTTTACAGTTTTCTTTTAGACTCCTGTGTGGAGCTTGGCTGCATGCCTATTGCAGTTTGCGGCTTAGGCTGTAGAATTAGATCACTTAAAAAAAAAAAAAAAAAGTAAAGCTATATAGTGTGGGTGGAGGAAAATGCAGAGTCAGCAGTGTACATCACAGCTGACTGATGTGACCCTATATGCCAGGGAAGCACATAGGAAATGAAAAGACACTGCAGGGAAGGATGCTTAATCCCATAAACTGCCAGGTAGGGAAGAAGTTTCAAGGACTGTGACTTAAAGATCTTCAGATTTCCCCTGAACTAGACAAGGTTTGAATTCAGTTCGCAATAAATGCTTTCCAATCAAAACCCACAAAGAATCCGGTTTTAATCTGGTCTGAGTCTGCTTCTTCTGGACTATGTTATGCAGTTGGTGTAAATACCAGGCCTAGTTTTAACTTCTGTGGCATGAACATGAATAGAATCTGTTTTTTATGCTGTCTGTGTGTGGTTGTTTTTTTTTTTTTTTCCCCAGAAGTTTGTCTGTATTTCTCTATTACCTGTTTTGGTAGACAAATAAGGAGATGTATCAATTATGTTTTAAAGGTGAAAAAATACACATCAGTCTTCTAAATCTAAATTTCAAACTACATATATATCAACAGAACTAATTTTGGAAGTAGACAAAAGATGTCTGTGCTCACAGTACTGTCAGTATTAAAGTAAATAGTAACTTCTCATACCAAATCTTCATTGTAATGAGAAAACTGATGGCTAACTCCTTCATGCTTACCTGGCCAGAAACTGCATTTTCACAAACAAATGTTTCATAGTATTTAGGGAATTCAGGTGCATGATCGTTAACATCAAGAACTTGGATATAGACATTTGCCTCTGAAATTTTTTCAGGGTTTCCTAATGGTTAAGGAAAGACAGAAATCAAAAGTTAAAAATAATATACTACATACTTTAAAGTAATGTAGACATTAGAAATTTTTATATATATTCTGCAGAGCAGAAGATAAGTCACTGAGCCCTAGAGACACATTTTATACTGTCTTTTTATGAGTCCAAATATATCCTATACATATTAAAAAGGCATTCTCTTTCTTTGCTGTGGTTCTGTTTACAAAAACTGGTGGGATTTTGGTTTTGTTTTTCCATCACATAAAATTATAATAGTATATCTTCAAATATGTAAAGGTATTTCATATAAAATTATGATTTGTTCACTCTTTCATTTACCAAGTCAGAAAATCATTTTAATGTAAAAAGTAAAATATGATTTGGAGAAATTCAATGAGGCTTAGTTCACGCTGAACAATTTACTGTACTAGTCGTGTAAGGGTATGTGGAAGGAGAGTGTCTGCGTTTCTAAAGGCATCTGATCATGGACCTTATTCAGTGCAACAAGAGTTCGTAAGGAAAGGAGGAAGCCTTAAACAAGAACATACAGGGACACAAACCTGAGGGACAAATGATAAGGGAAGGGCTGATGAGAACCACACCTGGTCATGCAAATTAATTGATGGGCACATGTGAAAGTGAGAGAATGATTCCTGTGTGGTTATCAGATCAGGGACCTTTTCAATTGGGAAATTGAGGAAAAGGGGAAAACAGAATGAATGTGGGATGCATGAGGGATGAGTGTGTGAGTGCTGTGTGTTTGCCAACAAACATCAAGCTGGACCAACTGATGAGCCAGTGACCCATGGCACGGATAAAAGGACCTGGGATCTGAGCAGGGGTGTCAGGTGGACAGAGGGTCTGTGCAGGTACCGAAGGAATCCATGAGTGTGTATGGACTTGTGAAGATGGAGAGTCCCCTGTATGTGTGCATGCCTGCACCAGTGACCGACTGCCTCTACCAGAAGAAGAGGAGGAGACTGGGCTGTCTGTCCTTGTGGTTTATGTGAGTTGTCTTTGTAGGTGTGGCTGAAGGCAGTGCCTTGTCTGTGGCAGTCTGTGTGACCAGCTGTATCAGTGTCCTTCCTCTTCGAGCGTGTGTGTGTCTCTAGGACACATACTCAGCTTTGCTACTGGTTGAACCTGCAAACAGGGAAGTGTCAGCTGCATCCCTGAGCCTGGGCAGAGGCCTCAGGTCCCTGAGCACCAGGCTGGGCTCCACTGTCCAGGCAGGACAGTCCTGGGCTGAGGTGACTGGAGGAGGTGGATGCACTTTCTTGACATCATGGATATCACAATGACGGGTCACAATCCTTTAAGAAATTTTGTTATTCTTTCTCTTCTTTAGTATTCTGAAGTTTTGAAGCTTTGGGAGAAAATTTCACCAAAATGCTTTAAAAATATTTCTGCCACTGCTAGATGTGAAGTAATTACAGTGGACACTGATACCCAGCCCTAACCAAGGCATAAAGCTGAGCCTTTCAATTTGTAACAAAAGAGCTGCTCTATCAACTGGGCTACAAACACACATTTGCAAAGAGGTCTGACTTTGCTCAGGCATGTCTTAGGCACTACTGCTGACAGACTTGATAGACTGAGATTATGGTTTTGTTCCAAGTATTTTTTGCACAAGAGGTTTAATTCTTAGGCATTTTGTACTTACAGAAGCTGTATTGTTTCTGTTACACAAGTATACTTTATTACTGTGGCTTTAGATAGAAAAGTTATGTCAGTATGGCTTATTCCTGTATGAAAAGGAAAATAAGCTCAACTAATATAAGGCAATTTTTCCTGCATTTACTGCATTTATACAAGGTTATATTGCTATAACTACCTCAGACAATGAAAAAACATAACCTAACTATACTATTTTCATTGTGCAAAAGTTTGTGTGTAGACTACTCTGAAAAAAAAAAATGTAATAAAAAATTATTATAAATATGTCACCTGAAAACAAGCAAAGGTAGATCTGCAACTACAGCACTCACCTGGAGAAACTGCCTGCTCATGGCTTGGATGGGCATACTCTTTGCAGAGTAAAAAACTGTCTGGATGGCCAGGCCCAGAGTTGTGGTAAATGGAGTCAAATCTGGTCACAAGTGGTATTCCCCGGGGCTCAGTGTTGGGGCCGTTTCTCTTCAATACCATTATCAATGATCTGGGTGAAAGGATCGAGTGCACCCTCAGAAAGTTTGCACACAACACCAAGTTGGGCGCTAGTCCTGATGAGCCTGTGGATAGGGACGTTTTTTTTTTGGATCAGAGGGCCAAAGCCAGTCGAGGAGATTCAAGAAGGCCAAGTACCAGGTGCTGCACTTGGGTCATAACAACCCTGTGCAACACTACAGGCTTGGAGACGAGTGCCTGGAAAGCTGCCGGGTGGAAAAGGCTGAATATGAGCTGGCAGTGTGCCCAGGTGGCCAAGAAGGCCAATAGTATCCTGACTTGCATCAGAAATAGTGTGGCCAGCAGGATTAGGGAAGGGATTTTCCCCTTGTACTTGGTACTGGTGAGGCCAGGACTTGAATACTTGTAGTGAAGGGGCCCCTTACTTCAAGAAAAACACTGAGATTCTAGAACATGTCCAAAGAAGGGCAATGAAGATGGTGAAGTAACACCAAGTGTTAATCTTCTGCCAAGTAACAAGCGATAGGATGAGCAGAAATGGTCTAAAGTTGCACCAGCAGAGGTTTCAATTGGATGGTAGGGAAAATTTCTTCACCCAAAGGGTTATCAAACATTGGAACAGGCTGCTCATGGAAGCAGTTCAGCTAATTTACCAACACTGAATGTATTTAAAAGACATGTAGGTGTGACAATTAGGGACATGGTGTAATAGTGGACTTTGCCATGTTCATTTATGATTGGACTTGATGACCTTACAGGCCTTTTCCAATCTAAATAATTCTATGATACTATAATTCTACACTGAATACCTCTTAGAAGTCCTTCGCCTATCAGCACATCGAATCCCCACATGTCACATCTCTGAGAAATGTCTACCTTCCCTACAAGGTAATTTATTACCCTAGTAGGCAAGAAGTTTCACTGCAACAGTAACATTCACATTAACTTGAACGTGTTGGTTGGTAAAGACCATAATGAAGATATTTTTCCAATTAATAAAATAATCTTATGACATTCCAGAAATACTAAATATCTATCAAGCCCAATATCTATTACTATCTCAATATATTTTGAGTCACTCATGAGAACATTTATCATAGTTAAAATATGCCTCATGATGGGTGCTAGTGTTACTGCATCTGTCCTGTTCAGAAATCCTTACGGCATATTCTTAAAATAGTCAAGTGGACCTTTAAGAAAAATACAAAACATATTCCTTTCTTCCCCACTTCAAACTGTATGAGTTTGGTTACTTCTTACCTTGCTTTTCTAATGTATAATTCACTAGCTGCTTGGAGCAAACATTTGTTTTCTTGGATCTTATGGAATCTGTGCTGATAGCTTTGAGTCTTTTGCCAAAGGAAATGGCAGGAAAAAGAGCTACCACAGAGATAAAGGGCTGGATACTCAGCAGTTTCACATTGTTATTCTTTCTGTGAAATCATTAGAGCTGTGCTAATTTACCAAAGCTTATGATCTCCCAGAGTCATCTCAAAAATATTTCTTTGTAGGATGACATTTTTCTCATTGAATCCCAACTTCCATAATAATACAATAGCAATGAAACAGTGCTCGTTTTATTTTTTAATATAAATATAAAAAGTAGAACACATCTCTTTCAGAAATAATACTGGGAATGTAGGACTTAACCTCTTTTACTTAAGTCATAATTGGATGTGTAAGGAACAGATTTGGCTGGATTAGCATTGATAGGAAAACTTCGTAAGACTTATTAGGAAGCAGGGAATACCTTTGATGACTTCAATCATATACGAAGTGGCATGGGAAGGACCCACCTACCTTGTCCTCTTCTTAACTTGGTTGTCACAAATATTTAGATAGCACTTTACAGTCTAGAGGTGGCATTCACACCTGTTTTATTTCACCAAATAACCCTTCCTTTTTTATTTATTTTTGGTAGTAGTCTTGTTTCTACTTCCTTACTGTATTTCCATTGTTGTATTGTGGTTAGGTTGTTTGTTTGTTTGTGGGATTTTTGGTAATTTCAGTTTGTTATTTTGTTTGGTTTTCCTCAGCATATGGTTAAATGACATGGAAGAGCATTTCTCATGTTGCTGTTGGAAGACAACAATATGGAAATTTTTAATTTTTCTGAAAAAACAGGTGTTTTGTTTTGTGAAGAAACGTGTTACAATGCTGCTCTTGGAATCAGTGTCTGGTAAATATTTAATAAAGATCTTGGGTGAAGCAGAGTGACTCCTGTGGTTGCATTTGGAGAAGATAGTAAGCTGCAGAGGATTGCCTGGGAGAGCCTGGACATCAGGCCGTACAAATGAGCAACCCTGACTTGTGGGCCTAGGGCGAGTGACACAGAAGTCAGAGAGAAAGTTACATAATAGCAGGATGTAGAGGTTTGTGACACGGAACAGGAAGTATATGCACAGTAAGGCACGTGAACTGAACTAACCAATCAGCTATTACCAGCGTGGCACTTGAGCGGGCGGATCACTAACAATACTATATAAGCACGCGGAATTGCGGAAATAAACGATTCACACTGTTAGCTCACATTGAGTCGTCTCATGATTCCACAAGCCTGCCTCCAACAGTAACCAACACATTTTGTCTTTCATTGCTCACATGGGAAAACAGTTGTCAGAATTTGAATACAGCTACTCTATTCATATCCTACATTAGGCTAAAGAACTTTAAATAAGTAGAAAATTTCTTTGTCATAATGTCCATGAGAGAGATCAAAATTTGAAAAACAAGGCCTGGGAGAACAGGATATTGAGTGCAATAAGCTGGATCAGTGTGAAGAATGAAGTTGACTCTTTAATTACTAGGGACCAAAATTAGTAGCTTGATTTTTTTGGACCTGTGGGGAAAGAAAAGCAGTGACCATCTCTAGAGACAAAGTAGAACACAGTATTTGCAAGGAATTAAAGAAATCTTGGCCTTGTCACCAACTAGTAGAAGGAAACTTGTAATAATAAAAATTATTATTTTATGAATAATAATAGTTTTTATAATTTAGTCCAAAGCAGATTTCATTAATTCCTAAAGTAAATGGACATGACTTTGTTTTTGTTTTTGTTTAAGGACTAATCTAAAAAGTTAGGAATCTGTCAACAAAAGTATATATGTCCAAAGTGGGGTAACAAATTAATATTGGATTAATGAAATGATTCATGACTGAAACATTCAAAGAGCTGTAAGTTCTGTAGTCATGTAGTAGGTCTGGAACTCACTATGAAAGGACATCTGCAAGACCCAGCGGGAAAATAACTGTTGTCTCATGTGAGTAAGTTAAGTTTGCTTCTGGCAGCTAGTGCACCTTTCCAATGGGTGTTTAGAGAAATGAGTATCAAAGTTAGCTTAAGCCAGTTGCTGTCATCGGGAATTTTTTTTGGTCATCTGTAGTTCAACCAAGAGAAAGCTGAAGCAGATATTCCTCTCTAAAATAATTAATTGTCAGTCAATCATCATTTGATTCATTAAATCAGTGTTAAGTAAAGCCTATGACTTAAAGATTTCTTGCTTTCAGGAACGGCTAGATTGCTGTGGTCTATGCTTCAGCCTTGTACTAGGTGGAAGCTGATTATAACCAAGTAAAGACTGATCAAAGAAAACTTAATTTCTCTTGAGCTAGAACTATATGAGGCATAAAATAGAATAAGACTCAACAGATTGCAGTTCTGACTGCTTGCGTTTAAGGTCCAGTGAACTAGACCTACTTTTGGTTACCTTTAAAACATGTTATCTCAATGGCACGACGATAGGATGATCCATACCACAAGACTGCAGTAACAGAGGCAAGGTCCTCTGACTAATCTCTGATCCCTGTCACTGCGATGGAAGCAAAAGGCTGTGTCCTGTGTGAATGCCAGGACATCAATAGGTCCCTAGGGAGGTTGATGTTGTAATGCAGTTTCAATCTCTGTCTCAGCTGCAATGGATACGTTGTGTGGATAAACTCTAATGGCATTCTGATTTGGCTTCAGTGGAGCCACAATTTCATCCACCAAATGTCTCATACGCACAGTGTATGTTATGACTGTATTTCAACGAATGAAATGCTACTAGTTCATAATACACATCATTTAAGGTATGCCCAGACCAAGGTGACCTAACTTCAATGCTTTTGAATATAGTCTTGCAGACAGTGACCTTATCATCATTAAAGAAATAAAGAATAAGAATATGAAGATAATGAGGGCTCGTTTTCTCTACAATAACTTTCATTACTGTGAAAGACTCGCTTTCTTTTGCTGCAGGAGACATTTATTCATTTTTTACACTTGGGTCTTTCCTACTTTATTGTTTAACTAAACAGAAAAGTCCAGACCAAAGTCATCCTGCTGTGTTTCCATAGCGCTATTCAAGACATGACAAAAACATGTCAGAGATCAATTTTACCAACACCTGCCAGCTGCCCAACAACATGAAAAGTAAAATACATTCATGCTTAAACCTCACAGAGAAGCTGAAAAGGAAGGTATTATTATAAAATCCCAAACACAAAATAAAGACTTCAGTGAAAATGGCTACTGGCTGTCTTATCTTAAGCTTCTAGCAGTAATATTCTACTTATATTCAGGGAATGCTCCCTTCTGGGAATAGCATACTTTATGAATACGTGTTTAAAGTAGTCCTAACAATAAATAGAATTTATCTGAGATTCAGGATTAAAAAAGCATGCTAAAAGTATCAGGTAAAACCTGTCTGATTTATTGACTGGATTTTAGCTTCATATGTTTTTTCTCCTTTCTGAGGATGGATGTGATTAGTGTTTAAATAATATCCCAATAATCTTGTTAAACTGCCTTGTAAATCAGTAGCTGCTGATTTTCTAGAGTTTGTCCCAGAGTTGGGGCAACCAGATCACCAAAAACACAAACAGAGGCGATTTGCATTTGACTTTCAAGCAAAACTGACAGGTGAAAACTATATAAAGAACGCTTCACAGCTTTAATTGTCACTGAAGAGAATTCTAGCTGATTTAGGCCTTACATTCACAATTAATTCGAGCCACAGGTTTCTGACTGGTGTTAAATTAGATCCTGGCTAATTTCACACTACTCAAAAATCTGCTGTGAAATTAACCAGGGTCTAATTTAACATAAGATCTTGCACTGCAGGAGCAATTCATATGCTTCAGTGTAACTTGAAAGTGTTACAGTCTCAATCCTATTACAATTTCTTTTTTTATAAGGTCATCTTTTATGAAAGAGCACAGGACCTTGGAGCTCAAATACATTCCACTGCTATTTAACTAATCATTTTAATAATGCTCCTTAATGTAGCAAGCAGCAGTAATAGAAGGAGAAAGAAGCATGTATTTTCCACTTAAAAGAAGGCATATTCAGAGGGTAATTACAGTTCACAGTATATAAAACACAGCGTTCCTTAAATTTCTTACTCACTTATTTCTGTGGCTGTAACAGTTATGTTGTGCCAAGAAGCTATCTCTCGGTCCAGAGGTTTAGTTGTAATGATTGTTCCATTGTGTTCATTGATGCTGAACAATCTCTTTAAACGCATGCCACGGACGATAGAGTACCTGCACCAAAAAAAAGTAAAGAGATTCCCTAATACTGAAATGTTCCATCAGAGGCAAGGACATAGAAAGCTATTGTCAGTTGAGAAAACAGAGCTGTGCATATATACATATAAATGTGTGCTGCAACAACTCAGAAATCATGAAAAATGTACACTTCTAAACATTTAAAATTCACTGCTGCCAAGATCAAAGCTCTTCTTTTTATAAAACTAAATACGTCTCAGATCTATATTAATGTGAACTGAATCTGAAATGCATTATTCATTCTTACTTCTAAGTCAGGCTCACAGCAGGTGAATGACTTCGTTGAAAGGAAACAGCAAAAGTGCCACTTGTGAAATGAATAACACTAACAGATAAGTGGAGGTATAATGGCAAATCTATTTTATCATTGCTGACATGCTCTGATGCCAAGGGAATGGGCATTATAAAGAAAGGCAGACAACTATTTGTAATGAGGTGACATCGAGGCAGGAGAAAAAATCCTAATGCAGGAGATGATTGCAAACGAGTCCAGTGTTTGTGAGTCTTCACTGAAAAAGCTCTGGATGCTATGTCCATATGTGAACATGCACATGTGTATACATACATACATACAACTCCAACTGTTAAAATTTAGCCACTGGTCACGGGCCAGAGATGGACTGGAAAAAAACCCCAAAGATATTGGTTCTAGGGGAAAGGATATTTACCAGTGTTTTTCATGACAAACAAAAAAGACTGTATGTCACAATTCCTAGTAGAGTATATTTCATGGAAATAAAACCTGTTTGAAGAGGTGAAATGTTCTCACCACTCCAGTTTGGTATTCCTACATTCAACTATTCCTTCCTTTCTTGTACCTTTAATTGTGCTTGACAAAGTCCTTCTGTCTCTTGTTGGCACTTAGGACTCCAGCTCAGATTTTGTGCCAGGTTGGCTGACTGTCTAACTTGTTATTTATAGTTACATTTTGTCTGTTTTGAAAACCAGTTAAGAGGATAAATCAAGGAACCGACAGAACACAATCAGTGAAAGTTACCATTTGAGCCAAAGATTTGACATTTATAAACCTCTATTTTAGGGATTTACATTTTTTTTCCCCACAAAAAGCACAAAACAAGCCCTTTTTTTTTAAAAAAAAGGACATGTACACTTTTATTTATTTTTATTTTAAGCTATGACTAGCTTACTAAATAACAGTAAATTAATTTAAAATCGTAACAAATGGCCTTGCATTGACTTATCTTCTGAAGCCATAACTATAGGTAGCAATATATATGAATATATATTTATCTGTTATTAGGAATATACACACTATAAATTTTTTTTTGTGTCCATCCTTTTGTCCCTATATCCTAGCTTGTCTAAATTGCACAGTACAGTGATGCCAAGTAACTCTAGAAGCTATTTTAATTATAAGCCCCATGTTAAAGATTAGTTACCTGTTTTCTCCCTTAAGAGACAGCAAAATTATTTTGCAAAGTTAAAAGAAGACTCTCTTTGTATAATATCCCTGTGGGGCAATTGTGGCAGGGGGAGGGAATGGGGAAGTTTTCGGTCATGCTGAACTGAGCAGATGCCACTGGAGCTATTTTGTGTATCTCTCCCAACAACGAGTCCATTCCTCCATACCTCCAGAAGTTATTGAAAGAGACTGGAACATCTCCAAGCAGTTACAGGTTTGGCTGTGGTACCTTAGACCTGCTGCTGTGCACAGACTCTTCCAGACCACTTGTACTGGTTTCAGGCAGGAATGAGCTCCTCTCCTACACAGAGCTGGCCAGCCCACAGTTTTCCAATGGATTTGTTTTATTCCATGGTCCAAAAAGCAGGTTCAAAGCAGGTTCTTTTGTTAGTGGACTGGGGAGTTCACAGTTTATCTCCCTGATCTGGGGTTCTTGGCTCGTGGGTTTTTCTCCCTGCTCTCAGAACTGTTCACTGCTTTTGGGATCTGGCTATGTGTCAGTCAGCGTGGGGTTAGCTACTGTATCATATGTTCTATTTGCTACTGTTTTAATTACTTATTATTAGTAGTATTTTTAGTATTACTATAAGTTTCATTTCTATTATTAAATAGTTCTTAGCTCAATATTTATGAGCTTCCCTTGGTTGTTTATATTTGTCTCCAAACCTTCTCCACTCTGGCAGCAGGCAGAGGTGAGTGAGCAACTGAGTGGTACTTAATTGCCAGATAAGGCTAAACCACGACACCATCTCAAAGTGATTGCAAAGATGCACAGAGCTCATTTATTTCCATTTTGGGCTAGGGATCAAGATTTAACCTATTGTACTGTTTTTGATTGGGATAGAGTTAATTATCTTCATAGCAGATTGAATGAGGCTATGTTTTGGATTTGTGTTGAAAAGAGTGTTGATAAGACAAGGATGTTTTTGTTATTGCTGAGCAGAGCTTACACAGAGTCAAGGCCTTTTCTGCCTCTTACACCACCCACCAGCAATTAGGCTGGGATTGTGCAAGCTGGGAGGGGACACAACCAGGACAGCTGACCCCACCTCATCAAAGGGATATTCCAATCCATATGACATCAGGCTCAGCATGTAAAGCTGGGAAAAGAGGAAAGAAGGGGGGTGGACTGTCAGAGTTAGGGTCTTTGTTTTCCCAAGCAACACACGATGAAGCCCTGTTTACCTAGACATGGCTGAACAGCTGCCTGCCAATGGGAATTGGTGAATGAATTCTTAGACTATTTTGCTTGTGTGAGTGGTTTTTATTTTACCCAGCAAACTTTCTTTATCTCAACCCATGAGTTTTCTCACTTTTATGCTTCCAATTCTCATCCTCATCCTGCTGTGGGGGGAGTGAGCAAGTGACTGTGGGCTTTGTGGTGCTTGGTTGCCAGATGGGGTTAAACCATGACAGCTGTGGGTGCACAAGAAGTGAGACAGCTGACTCCAACTGTCCAAAGAGCTATCCCATACCATATGACACAATGCTCAGTAATAATATTGGGAGGGGATGCCTTTGCAGGGGGATTGACTGGCTGGTGGTGAACAATTGGTTTGGGTTTTTTGTAATATTTGTTTTTCTTGGGGCTTTGCGGTGTTTTGTTGGTTTTGGGGTTTTTTTGTTTTTTTCTTCTTTGTATCTTCTTTTTCTTATTATTAAAATTTCTTTATCTCAATCTATGAGTTTTAACATTTCTACCTTTCTGATTCTTTCCTGCCTCGCAGTGGGTTAGGGGCTGAGTGAGCGGCTGTGTGGAAAACTCTTAGCTGCCTATCGTGTTATACCGCAACACCTAGAATAACCTAGGCTATCACAATGAAAGCATTATTAACTGTAATCATAAGCCAAGTTAAGGAATAGAAATAGCCTTTGTAAATCCCAACTACATTTATATTTGAGGAGTGTCCACATTTTGAGTTAGGTACCTGACTGGACAGTCATCATCATCTGGGTCTCTAGCAGTCACAACGCCCACCAGTGAGCCACTCACAGCCCCTTCAGCAATCTCCATCATATAGTTCTCCAAGGTGAAAACTGGAGGTTCATCAGCATCTTCCACATTGATTTTGACAACAGTTTTGTCTTCAAATGGTTCTTCTTTCAGAAAACGGTCATCAATGTATCTGTTTACAACTTTTGCTAGAACACTGTATCTCCTCTTGCTCTCATAATCCACTTTCTGTTAAGAAAGAAAGATGTGGAGTGTTTCTTTCTTCACATTTGAATTAAATACCTTTCAATAAGTAGTGTGATATTAAAGACAAAATAGTGCTACTCTTCGTTTGGGCATGTTTAAGAAGTGATTACTTCTAAGATTTTTATGTTAAAACCACTTTAAACTGTGCTATGCCACTGTTTGCTTTTATGTGTAGGCTGGCTTTAACGCTACAGTAAAACAAAACTGTAAAAGAAGTCTTGCCACAGAATGTCAGCCTTAGTAAAACAACTTCTATTTGTACTCATATTTCCAACATATGCGTACCCTTAGTGAACGCTATCCTCTACTCTTACATAAACAATGACAATTGGTTAATCTGTAGTGTTTAAGTTGTTAAAATTTGTTTTTAAAGGAAATAAATTCCAATGAGTGTTTATAAAAACACGGTTACATTACTATTTTATATAGACATCTTTAATTAAAAAAAACCTAAACAAGTAATTTCTTGAATGTAATAAATCCAAATAGAAAACAAACAAAGCAAACCAAAACCAAAACCAACCAAAAAAAAAAAAAAAACCCTACCCAAACCCCAACATTTATAATGTTCAGTTCTTCAGGCTCCAGGATTTCACTAGACTATCATTTCAGATGATGACCCAGAAGACCCAGAAATCTTCCTTCATGATTCCAAAATAAATCACACAGTATCAAAGCCTCTTAAATATCTTAATTCATAAACTTGTATATTTTGAGTGCAGCATCTTTTCAAAGCTATGTCATAACAAAAACCCCACTGTGTATCTGATTCTGTAATACATTATGGCCCCAGTTAAGTTTCACAGGCGGTTTTGGAAGTGAGGAAATGTTGTGTATAATTTATTAATAAATTTTTATAGATGATGGACAGAAGAGAGAGAACATTTTCTCACAGTGGCATACACGCTGTTGCACAGCTGGGAATAACATGAAGATACTTTGACTGCGACTATTGTATTCAGCAGTAATAGAAATGAATCAAAAAAAGTAAACAAACAAAAGCATGTGTCTTTTTATTCCTAAAAAGGATTCCTATTAGGAATATTCCTAATATCCTAATCAAATCAGAAGCCTAAAGAAAGAACAAATAGAATTCACAGCAATATGCTATATTTAAACATCCACCTTAATTGAGGAGGTTCTTTCTAGTATTTAGAGATTTTTTATAAGGTTTCTGAGATCTCACCTTTTTTAATAAGATAATTCCTTCTTGAGTCTCATTGTTAGTGATGATGTCAAAAACCTCTGAGCTATCTCCTTCAATGAAATAATTCATGGCTGCATTTTCTCCTATGTCACTGTCTTCTGCAAAGACTTTTCCTACAGTAGTGCCCACAGGAGACTCTTCATTGACGCTCATGTAATAGAGTCCTGAAGAAACAAATACTGTCACAATTTAGTGATCTGACATAGCTAATAGCTGCTGTAACTATGATGGCCTAAGGCTCTCAGAAAGTTGGGGAAAGCCCCCACCTTTTATTAGAGCAATGGATCTAATTCAGAAATGGACAGATCTTGGGGGCAGGGAATGACAACCTTTACACTCTTCTCTCAGCCCCACTTTAGCAGTAAATAAGGAGCTAAGAGGAACAAACAGGGTGAAAAAACAGTGGAGGGCAGCACTTCCCAACTGCATTTCACTAGTTCTTCCTGACAGCCCAGCTAGCAGCTACAACATCTGCTAGAAACACCCTAGACAGAGAAGGTCTCATTTGCCAAGAAGTTTACAGTATCTGTCAGTAAAGAATGAAGAGAGGAGAAAAAGAAAGTAGGTACTAAATATCCCATTGCCCAGATTTTAGGCTTAGTTAGCACAAACTAACAAAAGACAAAAATTTAATTTGTCTCCAAAGCCTAGCAATAAAAACAGCAGGCCTGAGGTCTCCTGTAATGATAATGATAGAATCATAGAACCTTTATGTTGGAAAAGACCTTTAAGGTCATCAAGTCCAAACATTAACCTAACATGGCTAATACCACCACTAAACCATGTCTATAAGCACTTGGTCCACACACCTCTTAAATGCTTCCAGGAATGGGGACTCAACTCCCTGGGCATCCAATTCCAGTGCTTGATTACCCTTTTGGTGAAGAAACTTTCCCTAATACCCAGTCTACACCTCCCCTTGTGCAACCTGAGGCCATTTCCTCTTGTCCTATGGCTTTTAACTTGGGAGAAGAGAGCAACCCCCACCTCTCCGCAACCTGCTTTCAGGTAGTTGTAGAGAGTGATAAGGTCTCCCCTGAACCTCTTCTTCTCCAGGCTAAACCCCCCCACTTCCCTCAGCTGCTCCTCACAGGACTTGCCCTCTAGACCCTTCACCAGCTCTGCTGCCTTTCGCTGGACACACTCCAGAACCTAAATGTCTTTCTTGAGGTGAGCGGTCAAAACTGAACACAGTACCTGAAATATGGAGCAAGACTGAGAAGTCTGAGAGTTTATCAGTCAGTTGATCCTTGTAGGTTTGAAATAGCCATTTGGGATTTATCTTTCCCATTCATCTCTGAGCTTTTATGTGGTATTTTTTAAATTTAATTTTTACTTGAATTTGTATGCTGAAATCAAAGCACAGACCTCCTCTGTAAAAATGTACCAGAGAACTTAACAGAGATGCAGTAGATCTAAATTTCCTCAAGACTTCAACTAATGTAAGTAGCCTATACTCACGCTGTTGAAATTTAGGTGGATTGTCATTGACGTCAGAGAGATTGATGGTAACAGTGGCTGTTGCTGAAAATGCCCCTGCTTCCCCAACCATATCTTTGGCTTGGATAATGACCAAATACTGATCTTTTGTTTCTCTATCCATTTGGGAAGCCATTCTGATGACCCCTAAAAATGAAAAGTATAACACAATAGGATATAATAGTCTCATCTTTTTCCCAATATCACTGTATAATTTGGGTATAAAATGCATCATCACAGTTATGAATTTACAATGTACATTTATAATGTAAATTTTGCACATCACATCTGTCTTAAGAATGTAAATTAGTATTCATAGAATGGGTTGGGTTGGAAGGAACCCTGAAGATCATCTAGTTCCAACACCACTGCCATGGGCAGGGACATCTTCCATGAGATCAGAGTGCCCAAAGCCTCATCCAACCCGGCTTTGAACACATCCAGGGATGGGGCATCCACAGCTTCTCTGGGCAACCTGTTCCTGTGCCTCACCACCCTCTCTGTGAAGAACTTCTTCCTGATATCTAATCTAAATCTGCCCTCTTTTAATTTAAACTCATTACCCCTTGTCCTGTCACTACAGGCCCTTGTAAGAAGTCTCCCTCCAGCATTATTGTAGGCCTCTGCTAAAGTCTCCCCAGAGCCTTCTCTTCTCCAGGCTGAACAAGCCCAACGCTCTCAGTCTGTCTTCATGGGAGATGTGTGCTCCAGCCCTCTGAGCATCTTCGTGGCCTCCTCTGGACTTGCTCCAACCTGTCAATATTCTTCTGATGTTGTGGGCCCCAGGGCTGGATGCAGCACTCCAGGTGGGGTTTCAAGAGAGCAGAGTAGAGGGGGAAAATCCCCTCCCTCGACCTGCTGGCCACACTTCTGATACAGCCCAGGATACGGTTGGCCTTCTGGGCTGCCAGCGCACACTGCTGGCTCATGTTCAGCTTTTCAGCCACCAGTACCCCCAAGTCCTTCTCCTCAGGGCTGCTCTCTACCCATTCTCCCCCCAGCCTGTACATTTGCCTGGGATTGCCCCAACCCAGGTGCAGGACCTTGCACTTGGCCTTGATGAACTTCATGAGGTTGGCACAGGCCCACCTCTACAGCTTGTGAAAGCCCCTCTGGATGGCATCCCTTCTGTCCAGCATGTCAACTGCACCACACAGCTTGGTGTCATTGGCCAACTTGCTGCGGGAGCACTCAATCCCACCATCCACGTCACTGACAAAGATGCTGAACAGTGCCGTTCTCAATACTGACCGCCAAGGAACACCACTCATCACTGGTGTCCACTCACACATCGAGCTGTTGACCACCACTCTCTGTGACCATCCAGCCAATTCCTTACCCACTGAGTGGTCCATTCCTCTCCAATTCAGAGACAAGGATGTCGTGCAGGACAGTGTTAGTGCTTTGCACAAGTCCAGGTAGATGACTGGGTCTCATCCACTTGCTCATCCTGGTTCAGGTGGCCTGTAGCAGACTCCCAGTATAGTATCTCCTGCCCATGCCCTCTCTTTGATACTGACCCATAAGCTCTGGGTCAGCCCCTCATCCACCCCCATATACAGCTCCATGTACTCCTGTACATGTATTGGTCTCTGACATAGTGGACATCACCCTCTCCTTGTTTCCCTTGCCTGTCCTTCATAAATAGCCTCTATTTTTCCATTCTGACATTCCAGTCATAGGAGCCGTCCCACCATGTCTTCGTGATGCCAATGAGGTCATAGCCCCGCAGGCATGTGAATGTCTCTGACTTTTGTTCTTTATTTCTCAGACTTTCTGTATTCAGAAAGAGGTATTTCAGATGGGCCCCCATTGAAGCTGACTTGCTGACTGGATCAGCTGGAATTCCCATGTATTGTTCCTCAGGTGTTCTCCTGCTGACCTGTGGTCCTTCTCCAGGCTCTGGGCATCTCTTGGTGGCACTAGGCTCCAACTAGAAGGAGTAGGATGGGTTGAGGTTTCCCTCCACCATCAGCCGTAGTTTAAAGCCCTCTTCACCAGCTTGGCAAGCATTTGCCCAAAGACATTCTTTCCCTTTTTGTCAGATGTACCCCATTAGCTGCCAGTAAAACAGGCTTCTCAAAGTGAGTCCAATTAGCCAAAGTGCTGGGTGTGGCACCAGTCCTGCAGCTGACTGTTGATTCACCAGATTCAAATGGCCCTTTCAAATCACTTACCTTTGACTGTGAGGATTGATGACAAAACTACCTGGGCACTAGAGTCCGCTGCTCCCAGGGCTCTGTAACCCTTTTTGATAGTCCTCAGACTGGTCCTGACTGCATCATTGGTGCCTTAAGTTTTCATAGCCTCTAAGTGACATCCCTGAAACGAGCCCACCTCTGTAGAGAGTGTGTTTGGTCTGCAAATGGGTGCCTCCGTACCCCTCAGAAGAGAGTCACCTGCTTCTATCACCCGTTGATTTTTCTTAGTTGTGCTGGTTGTTATACAAGGAGCAGCCCAAGCTGCCTTACTCCGTGCCAGCATCTCTCCTGATTTGATGGGTCTTTCCTTTCATTTGCAGAGCAGTGAAGTGATTCTGCAAGGGTACCTCAGGCATCAGAAGAAGTCTTTTCCTCCGTCTGGTCCTTGCTCTTGTGACCGTCCATTCTTTGCCAATATTGGTCTCTCTCTCTTCCAAGTGTGTCAGTGTGGAGTTCTGGGATGTTTAGCTGTAGGTCCATTCCATACTGCACTTGGGACCAGCTGTCTAACTCCTCAGCCACCCTGGTGTCCCACAGTCTTCTCACTGCCTTCTGCAGCTCAGCCATCTGCCACAGGAGACCCTCCACCTGGGCACACTTCTGGCATGCAGATCCGCTGCCTGCCCCTGCTCCGGGAGAAATGTATGGGCATTTCCTGCAGCCTGTAGTCTGTACTACAACCTCTCCCTTCAGCAGCTCCATCCAGGTGGAGGCATTAACCACTACTGGGTGGACCAGTGCAGACCTCCCAGCCAGAGCTGCAGCTTTTGGTCTCTGACAAGTGCGCACCGTTCTACCATTCACGACAACATCTACAGTGTATGACAGATCCATTTTGCATACTTAGAGGTTTTGAGAGCAAAACACATCATGTATCTCCTCTACCATATATCACCATATTTCTTCCTCATAGATCAGGGTTTTGAAGGGATGTCACCTATCTGTGGTTTCTCCAGCACAGAGATAGGAATGTCACGAGTCGTAGAGCTGTTAACCCAACAGTGTTCCTAGGTCCATTTGTTGCATGGGGTACTCAGACTCCAACTCTTTTCTTTAGTAAGATAATTTACTATATAACTTCTTGATTCACTACAGAGAAAGGATTTCACCTTCCTAAGGGAAAGAAAGAATTGGGTTTTTTTAGATATAGGAACTATGCAAAGATGTACAAGTGTAAGGTTGTATCAGTCAATCTCTGTATTGAAATGAAGAAAAGTATTTTTACTTACATCCATTTTATGTTAGTTTATGAATTCTTTGAAGGTACAAGTTCATTTGTACTACCTGTCTTAGGCTCCACAGAGAAATAAGGCTGTCCCTGAAGAAGACTGTAAAGGAGACGGGCGCTATATCCATAAGAAGGATCATCACCATCTGTAGCTGTTACCTGTGTAACCGAAGTACCTCAAGGAAAAAATAAAATAGATTACATTTATTTTCTTCTTGTATAACATCCATAGTACATACAAAATATAAACTCTTTAAAAACCTTTAAACACACCAGTTATATTAGCAAACAGCCCTGAAAGTTTACAGGCACAAAAGGCACCTTCTAAAATTTTTCATTAATATGGGAAAATATTTCCTCAGCAACTATTCTTGCTGCATTCAAATTTTCAATTAGAATGAAAATAACGAAGGTATGATTTTTCAGCACCACATATATGTTGCTTAAAATACTATGTATCATGATTTTTTCCCTAATTTTCAGTATGTGAATGGAGTGCAACAAATCGTTTCCCCTCCCCTTGTATATCCTTCAAAGTATTTTATGGAAGTTTCCCATCGGAATAAGAAAACGCAGCCACTTTATCACCAGTAGGCCCACTGGAGATGAAATTAATTGTTAGTAAGCAAAGCAACCAAGAAGCATAGCAAGGGTCTGATAATATTTTTTATCCTTGAGTTTTTAATGAGCCTGTCCCAGTGCAAGAGTGATGATAGAATCCTCAGTGAAAAAAAACGCAGCAGAATCAATCTGATTTGATTTCCTCTCTGGCTGGAAGCTGGTTATATCCTAGATACAAGACTGACAGCAATCTCATGGCACCATCAGTGGTGACTGCCCTTTAAAATAAAATGTTAACAGTAGTATCATTCTCTAAGTTAACCATTTTTTGGTCTTTTTTCCTCACCTAGGTTCTGCATAAGAATACAAATATCACTTCTCTGATATAGGAACAGTGTGCAATCAAGCTACTTTTAAAACTTTCTGGCATATGTTCACCTGCTTACCAGTATAGCTGTATAGCTATGCTAGGGGAGAAAAGAATAAGAAATGATGGAGCGCATGGGATTTGACCAGAAACAACTTTTATGGCAAACTCGAAGTTGATAGTTTTCCCCAATAAAATGAATAAATTAATTTCTGAGTTTTCTAGAAGTTCAGTAGTTTTATTTTAAAGTAGAAATTAAGAAGGCTTCCTCATTTTGACTACTTAAAAATTGTGGGGTTTTACATTTTCTTTCAATTTATTCAGCAGCTCTTCAAGTGATCCCATACTACTAATGCTAATAATTTGGAGTTATATGTCCTTGAAGTCATACTTACAATAACAAACTTCTGATATTTAGGTGTGCATTAGGTATGTGTATAGATGTGCATATATATATATACTGTTTCCTATTATTCTTGAAAAATGTAAAAGCTAAAATAACAGATTAATCAGGGAACATATACGCTTCAGAAATACAATAGTCTTTAATAAGACTGAGTGGTAAAGGAAATCTTAAGCTACACAACTGTTAACTTTGTATCAGCTGTGGTCTATGGAAACTGTTTTAACTAATACAGGAAATTCATCCTCTAAACAATTTACCACGATCAGAATGCAGTTGTTATAATGACAAAAAAAGAATGGAGTGATAGGGAGGAAGGGATCAAGAACTATGAATAATCCGATCAGTACAGTTTGTTATAAATTCCATTTTCTACTAAACAAACCCAAGTACCAACAACTACATTTAGAAATGGACTTTTTTACAGCAGCATGTTTAATAAATCAGGAATAAAATCCAACATATATAAGGCTGCAAAGCTATCATTACAGCTTTGTGCATCTCATTCATTTAAAGGTAGATTTATTTTCTGCACAGTTTCTAAACATTAGAAAGGATAGTTGAAACTAAACCAGCATTTGCTGCTTCTCTAAGCCCCCAGCCCACTTTTCTGCTTGCCTGTTGACCCTTTAAGAGTGCAGCAGAAGGCAGAAGCATGGAAATTGCTCAGCTGGGTGAAGTGAGATGCAGCTGGTGGATATAATGGAAAGGTGAGCAGGGAAGGGTCATGTGATAAAGGAGTTGACTGGGAGGGAAGCAGTAACAGATCTACACTCTCAGGAGGAAAGTTGTTTTTCACTGGGGTGACAGGGATCAGGTAAGAGAGGACTATGGTTTCTTACATTTTTTTGGGGGGCAATGATTTTATGATAACTATATGAACCTCTATATTAAGTATAGACTATGTAGTAAGCAGAAGAAAACACTATCCTAGGTTTGGAATACTTTTTCAGTTTTTAATTTTTCACTGCCATGAAGCCTGTATTTCTTTATACATTTAACCTGCAGAAAAAATATGAGTTATTTACTGAAAGGAAACATGTTTACCTATGCATTTGTATTTAAATGATAGGAATTACAATGTAAATATGTACCCAAAAACTCAAAAAAAAAAAAAAGTCATTTTTTATAACTCCATGCTTGGGAGAAGAATAATAATTGATCAGGTACAAATAGTATATTTTAAAACAATCAATTTGCACAGAACCGAACCCTCAAACAAAAAACCAAGCTATTGTCCCACCTCTTGATATTGAAGCTATGACACAATATGATTGACAATCGAACTATGATACAGTTTCACAACATTTATGTGAAAATATCATAGCAGAGGTGAATGAACTGATCATGTCTGTTGGCTTTCAAGCATGCATTTTTCTATATGGGAGTCTGTGTGATGTTGATATGAAGTTTAGCCCCAAATATCTGTTTTATGTACACAATAATGTCTTAAGCTAGATAGTAAACATGCTGACACCTTTTTTTTGCTGTTTATTAGCTTTATTTAACACAAACTATATTTTGTTGATTGCTACATAAGGCTTTTCTTTGTATTTCTGCAGCCTTGGTTTCACCCTTCTTTGGGGAAATGTAGTAGATGTAGTAGTACCATTTACATATTGCAGCCCATTCAGTACCTTTATAGGGCCCTCATATGACAAATAGTTATTAATTTTTCTACTCTAGAGCTTGAAATCTATAAAAGCAGTAAGTACTGATATATTACTGCATCTTACTCTTAACCATTACACCAGTTATATTGCATTTGCAGAAGTTTAACAGCTACATGGAAGATACAGTAGAAAACCAGACCAAATGTTTGAAGGAAAACCACAGTCACATTCTCAGAAGAGAGCCCGCTTGCTGACATGCTTTTCATTTACTGTGACACTTTCATATAAAATCCTAATAAAATGTAGCACTACAGATAAGAGAGCTAAGAAAGAATTAAGATGTATTCTGATTTGTTGGCACACTAGTGTATATATATCGGTATTTGTACCTAACTTAAGGCAAAATTATCTGTGCCTGTTTTCTGCAGCTCTCTGAACCAAGTATGAACTATTCTCTCTTTGTTTTCTTTATTCCAGACAAAATGTTCAACAACTTTTAAGTGCTTTCCCAGGTACTGACCACACTTCCTGAGTGTGTTTTCTGTGAGAAAATACTAGGCGATCCCATGTGTAGCACCAGTGAGCTGAACTGCTGCTAGAGAGCTCTGAGACAGAGCAAAGGCACAGTCTCTCTACTGAACTGTATCATTTAAATGAATTCTGGTCTACATCCCTTTTTATGCAAGCAGATGCTCTGTTTTACTTTGAAAAAATACTAAGATAATAAACCATTACAGTATCCATACTGTAAATTTCAGTTGGTTACTGTTTCTATCCACTGGTAGGTAGAAATTTTCCTTGTAAGAATTTATGCTTTAGGATGCACACACAAACAGGTTTCACCTCAGAGCAGGGTAACCGAGCCCAGAGAAGTCCTCATGGTGTGGCCCAGCTGTTTCATGTGTTGGAGCTGACCACTATTTAGGTATATATTATGCCCCACTCAACGTATGTTCTAGATACCAGACATCCATACTACTGGCATACTAATGTGTTAGTGGCTACATGGAAGAAGGTGAAAGAATGATCCATAAAATATCTATTGTATTAGTGCTAGAGAGGTCAAGCAGAGAAGAAGCAGTGTAGAAAATACTTCAAGATCCATAGGACTGACTTAGATTCACATATCGTACGCTGGATGACTGCAAATCTGTGAGTTTACTGTTTCAGATAGTCTCTGTCTAAGGCAGGAGGCACGCAGGGTTTTATTTTTCACCCATTCTGACAAATGGGAGGTGGTGCTGCTTCTGATTTTTTACACTTTTTTTTTTTTCTTTTCATATATTTCTACATTTTACTGGAATCCTTTTATTTTATAAATTTACAGGAATATCACAATTATTAAATGTTTTGCAGTTTGAGTAATCTTATGTGGAAGTGATATGGTATTTTAGGGATGTAAATATATAGTAGATGACACAGAAGATTGGATAAAGATTGCTGAGATTTTAATTTATAGGATGTTAGTTTATAGCCAACTCAAGTCGATACAGATTGAAAGCTCACATCTGTCAACTGCTTATTAGTGGTTCCAGGTAAGAAACAGGTATATGGGAAAAGTTGTTGTACTGTTGGTTTTGACCGTAAGTACCACCCTACCTAACTCTTTTCTTTTTTTCTTTTTTTTCTATATAGTCATCACTGAGACAGGGGTATAAAATAGAAGGAATAGATAATTTAACATGGCTTGATTTACACTCACACAGACCTGTAGCCATTCACAGAAGTATACCAAGAATTAACTTATCAGCTATTTTAAAGCTATTTTTTAATAAGAGACCAAGTGCCTCATAAACAATGCTTTACCGGGGAGGAGGCCACTGTCTATGTCCTAAATCTGTGTAATCCCAGAAAAAATTACCCAGATATTTCCAGATAGTGAACTGTGTCAACTACTGCAGTGAGTACATTAAAAAAAAAAAAAACAAAACAAAACAAAAAACCAAAAAAACCCCCACAAAAACCCAACCATCATCCACGAAACCAAAAACAAATGTCCTTGACAAGGCACCTGTCGTCTTGTCTCTAAACCTGAGTGAATGAGCAAGACAAAATGGCTAGAAGTTCCCTCTGAACAATCAACACATCATGTTAGGAAAAGTTATTTGAACAAAAGCTCAGATGCAAAAGTCTTGAGATAAATAAGTCTGTAAGGAAGAATGTTTCTTCCCTGCAACTATCATATGCCCAAAACTGATTTCCCTGCTAGAGGTGGTATAAGCAGGGTAACTAGGAAATACATTGATTAAAATGCATGTCTCTTTTAGCCATTTGTGGTAATGATGGTAGCCTGCTTCCTGGCAGAAATTAGGAATCTAACTCCACTTTTGATTAAATTCCAGGCATGAATATCCTTTTCATACAACTTCTATCCAGCATGGCAGAAGATGATAAATTTTACATCTCCCTGTGAAAAATTCACTGAATCTGCCCTAAATGTTGAGGGGGAATGCTGAATGAAACATAGTTTTTATTACCTTTTATGATCACTGATGCTATTGAGTTAATGACCTCATTAATTCATACAGTTTTAAGTAACACAATATTTTAATTTCTTTTCAATATTATTTGCAACAGAAATAACCCTATCTCTTTTGGTTAAGAATTTAAAAGATTACCAGGATTCTTTCTGTAGGATTTAGGGAATGCATTTTTCCATTTGTTTTGAAGATGGTTATTTGGAGACAGCAGTATTTGTAACATGCTTGTTTGTCAGCTGCATTCATACTTTGGGGTGTTTTTAAGGATTTAAATATATGTATATACACATTATGTGTACATGCATGTGTACAGTTATATGTATACATACACCTGTATCTGTCAGATGTTAATCATAAAATGCTTTAGGTTGTAAGGGACCTTTTAAAGACCATCCAGTTCCAAACCCCCTGCCATGGGCAGGGACACCTTCCACTAGACCAGGCTGCTCAAAGCCTCATCCAGCCTGGCCTTGAACACTTCCAGGGATGGGGCATCCACGGCTTCTCTGGGCAACCTGTTCCAGTGCCTCACCAACCTCTCCGTGAAGAACTTCTTCCTGATATCTAATCTAATGCTCCCCACTTTCAATTTAAACCCATTCCCGTCTTCGTGGTACCCCCTTCAGGTACTGGAAGGTGCTATAACATTTCCCCAGAGCCTTCTCTTCTCCAGACTCTCTCAGCCTTAACTTTGCTTCTTGTTTGTTGTATTAAGCTTCCAGATACACGACAGATCCTATTACAAGTCTGTTTGATCGCGTGGAAGTGTGAAAGAGGTGGTGCACGGGTTAAGTTTTTTCTCTTGACAAGAAAATTACAATTCATGTGCTTAGGCAATCAGAAGATAGTCCTTCACTGCATACCATCTAATCCAAACAGAGAGAAATTGATTGATGGGAAAGAGGCTTGGCAGTGTAAATAGGTAGGCATCATATGTGGTGAGAGGATAGTCATCTCATCAGCCCCACATCAACTTCCTACCATTCCTGTTCTGAAGCCATTACTGATAGGAAGGAAGCTATCCTTATCTTTGTAAGGGAAGCTACCTGTGAAGTGAACGTGATTCTTTTCCAGATACAGTGTAATATGCTTTATACTACACAGGGTATAATAGAGACATATTGTTTAATTATTAAGCAGAATCAGAGTAGACTGAAGGGTGCTGTTGAGTACTTTTCAGTTCAACCAAGCTTACACTTATGTCCTTGAAAGAGTCATTTGAGGTCACAGGACTTCAAAGGTTATGTGCATACTACTTTTCTTTCAGATTGGTAGTAGCCTGAAGAGCTGACAAGTTGTAGCAATGATCATACACTGAACAATTTTCTAGAGACTAGGGTGCTATACTGATTGAAAAAGTAGTGAAATCTCAAAATCTCCTTTGCAGTCCCAGCTGGCTTATTCCAAATTGTAATGTTGTTTTCTTAAAAAAACTGTCTGTTTCAATGACAAATCACGAGTGGGAAAGATTACTCTCTGTAGTCAAGCTGAGCATGTACCCAGATTCTGTAAAAATGCTTGGGTACGTGTAGGTACCTAAATAATTAAAGATGGGGATATTAAGTAGAGGTATGCACAATATTTGCTTGGAAATATGCAAAAGTATAGGCTTAAAGTTTGTGAAATAGTTTGCTTCCTTCCCACAGAAAAGCAGTCTATAAAATATGATATTAAGTCTTTTTTATATCAACATGGCTATCTGGAAAAACTCAGGAAAGAGAGAGGTTCATTCACAGCATGTCATACCTTCAGGTGACATCTCTGGAACAGTGGCTGTATATGGTCCGTCCAAGAATTCTGGTTCATGATCATTGACATCGCGAACCTTGATAATAAACTCTGATTCAGCTTCAACGGGAACATGGGTGGTTCTGTTAACTGCTTGTGCTCTTAGAGTGTAGAAGGGTTTCTCTTCTCGATCCAGCTTTTGTGTCACATAAATCTTGCCATTATTTTCGTCAATGATAAAAATGCTTCCAGCTCCCTCCCCAGTCAACATATATTTTAGGTTGCCATCCTGCTCGTCTAAATCTGATTTCAGCTGCAAGTACAAAACAGAAAAATAAGCGACATTTTGGGAGGAATAACATTTTGGAATATTCATTCTAGGCTTTGTTCGTTTTCATTCTGTCACTAGTGAGCCTTCTTGGGTACTAACATTTAAAACAAGTTACTGTCATATTTTCAGACAGTCATGGCTCAGGTTTAAAGTATGGATATATAAATGCATGGTAAACCTGAATAAACATGTTTCAGCCCCCTTGAACTGAAGGGAATGAATGTAAGTATCTATTTTAGATTGTTGCTTTATGAGCCCCCATATAAATCTGCTGAAAAGAATGCAAAGGTTTGTTAAATATTATGTATTTTTTGTATTATTATGAATGACAGATGTATTTTCTAAGTTTTATGTATGTATTTTGTAGTCAGCAATACTAAGAATGAATGAGAGACAGTGGTGTTCTACTTCTGTTGAAATTTTAAAGCGATGAAAAGCCATTATGTAGTATGATTCTCTATTATTTATTCTGAAATAAATTGATAGACATTTTCCATTTCCTTCCAGGATGATCTGCATCCACTTTTGTCTTGCTAAGATGAACTTCATAATGATGATTCCTCTGATGAAGCCGAGCCTTGGAGACCATTGTGGTCCAGCTGCATTTGTTCATGCCAACAAAACAGTTTTGTTAATGTTAACAATATTTAACAGTACTCTTTTAATAGCAATAACTTAATTTCTGAACTTCAAACATCCACAGTTGAATTTTACAGGAACAATAATTTCTATGTAGCATTAATTGTCTATTCATTTATTTATTTTGGATTTAGAATAAAAGACGTCAAAATCTCAAAGCCTGGATAATAATTGAAAAATCCAATGTAAAAAATAAAATAAAGGAAAACATACAAACAAACAAAACCAAAACCAAAAATGTTTTATTCAGCTTGCTTTTCTCCATGAGGCAGCACGGTTTAAATTTAAATAATATGTCTGCACATTAGCTTCAATAACCACACTATTGTGCTTCATGCTTATTGACCCTACAGCTCAGTGTAGGATATGAGGTCACAGAGTTGGAAAGAAGTAACTGTCAGAGGTAAAGCGTCCATTTTCCTATTGGATCTTCTCAACATATTTTGTAATGGCTTCTAAAGTTACAAAAATAATTTCAGCTTTTCTTTGGAACAATGACCACGACTTCTGAAGATTCTCATAGTGCAGAATTTTCTGCATGCATCAAAAGATAGTTTATTTTGAATATGGCTGGTACAATGCTCTGAGATATGAGGAACAGTTTTGAGATCCTGTGCTGAGTTCTTTCAGAGTATTTACATGCTGAATTATAGAGAGTTAATTTCCCTTTCCAGTACAAGAGAGAGAATTTTCAAGGCAAGAGAGTTTAGAGCCATTTAAAATATGAACAATTTAAAGGCAAAGGTTTTCAGCATAAGTAGTTGTGTTCAAATCATGGGTAAGGCTCACCCCTTTATGACAGGTCTAGTCAAACTCATTTTAACACCATGCAATTTTGGCATCTGGTTAAGGAGCACCACAGATTCTTTTTAATCCATAAATATTTGTTCCCTTGTAATGAGCCATTTGGCATGGGAAAAGTGATCAATATCTAGATCTTTGACCTAAGTTGGGTTCAGATGTGATCACACAGTGTATCAAACCCTTAGAAACTGGAACCATACCTTGGCCTCGCTGTTTGGACATAACCTATGTAGAACTACTTCACTCAGGATAATTTATTCCCAAAAGATTTTTCATGACCTTTACCATTTTAAATGAGAAGTCTCTTACAGATGATGTTTCCTGAGGAAGCATACTGTAGGTTCGCAGTTTATCAGTTTTATTAAGCTAGATACAAAAGAATAAACAGTCTGTCCCCTGTAAAAGAGAACTTGGACCAAGAATTTATGTACTTCATATATCTGAGACTGCAGTACTGATGAACACATTTCCTTTTCTTAAACATGATAATGGAAGAAAACCCTCATGAGTGTATGTTAAATGGAATTTGAAGATTTGGTTCTGAATCTGCCTGAGAACAGAAGTTCATATGCAACAGTGACTCAAAAACAAAGACTGTCTACCTTTGTATTTTTGTTGATGCAATTTCCTTCAGGGCCTTATTTACTAAGAATTCATGTGTTGGTCAGAGACTTTCACTTCATTTACTGAAAGCAGAGAATATTCTACTCAATAAAAAGACACAAGTAAATATGTCTGATTAGACAATGGTTAGATTGCAATAAATTGATAATAATCTTCAATAAAAATTCCCCATAGTTTACCTGTGAGAAATAGACAAGATTACAAAATTTTTTCTAAAGCTGAATAAAAATACATGACATTTTTGAAGTTTCTTTTAGAGGAAACTGTTTTCCAGCTATGGAAAAAGTAATAATAATTTAAAAATGAGGATGTCTACACTTGTTCTTTCAGAAGTGAGACATCACACTTCCACAGTAGTTACTTCTAAAGGGCTGTGAAAAAGTAATTAATGAATTTTGAGCACTTCACCCTTTGGGCCCAATTAAATTTTAGTGCTAGTTAATTACCAGTTAAACTTATTTTGGTGCATTAATCTAGGAAGTGCCTCAAATTATAATAAAAACACCCACCTAGATCTCAAGATTACAATTACTTCTAGCATATACAAATAAATAATAATAATAACAAGAATAGTAAGAATAATCAGAGGGAGAAGATGGGGCAGATAAAGTCTCATTAAGACAATTATCTTAAAACACATTTTTAAAGGAGGGTGAAAAATAATTGCTCATTGTGCTAAACCTATGTTAATCTAATGAACCATGCAGATTCCTGTAGTTCCTCAGTGGTAAAAGGATTTAGTATTAATCTGCTTCATTAAAAATTAATGATGGGTAAATCAGCTGCTACTTAGTGTAATAGAAAATAGTTTTAAATAATGTTTGTAAACTACACTGTGCTCAGTATGGCTGCTTTGATGCAGTACCAAAAATAGTACAAGCAAACTGGCAGATGTTGATAAATGAGTCTGTAACTTTCATTTGGAAGACAGAAAGGAAATTTTCAGTTTGATATTTTGTCTGCTGTGTGTGGAACTAGTTTTAGTAATAGAGTGAATGTGAAGTTTCCTTGACAGCAGACATAGGTGAGAGAAGGTCCTTGATACTGCCGCAGCCTACAGCCCTTGGAGTTCTCTGACCCTGTCAGGTCCAGTAAAAGAGAGATATTCTGCTCAATTACAGCTCTCTAAGCTCTTCTTTCTTCCTTTTTTCATATTTCCAGGTCACTGGAGATTCTTGGTCTCCCAAGCCAAAGCAGTAAGCTGCTGATCAGCACGTTAAATCTAACCTTGTGCCATCCTTGAATCATTAGTTATCATACCTGTCCAACATACACAGGCACCACTGAAGTCTGTTCCTCAGTTGCAAACAGTGGCTCCCATACCCAGCCACGTTTCACTCTTCGAACTTCTGTGAAAGACTGATCTGTGTTCTGAATGCTGCGGTTCTGTGTGTGTGGAAAGCAAGGCCAGAGCTGAACCAGCATCAGTACGAGAGACAGCAATGCAGAGGAATTCATGCTGAACACTTCTTTCAAGCAATTTTAATCTGTAGAAGGGGAGAAAAAATGGAAAAACTTTGACAAAGCCTCACTTTTGGCTTTCTGCTTTTATATATTGATTCTGTGCTAATATAAGAGCTGATTTGCAGTGTTAAAATCTCCTCCTCTCCCTAAAAGGAAAGAGCTGAAACAAAGTCTGTTTCTGATTAAACCAGAGATTTTCTTAGAGACGTTGGCATGAAAGTCAAGTGTTCAAATTTCCTATATGAATATCCTACACGGGTACTTCCTATGCAAAAAAAGGAAAATCATCCTTCAATTAATTCATCTTCCAAATTAAGCTGGCTAATTGTATTGTGTAGCCTAGGAATAATTTGATTGGAATAATTGTATGTTTCTGCTTAGACAGGGCTCATTTTGAGCTGCAGTCACAGAACTGCCTGAAGGGTGAACATCTAGCCTGAGTGGCCCTGATGACTGACAGCTGAAACAGAGCGGTGCAGGTATTTTTTAACCTCTTCTTTCCCTCTTTTCCAACGCAGCAAAATGCCTGCAAAATTGCTAGAGGTGGTAGAGTATCTATGAACAAGGAGCAAAAATGTGTAACTTTCTCCTTCCTGGTCAATAGAAATTTTCTTAACTGATTTTACAACCCCTGACATTCTTCTATTTAACTAAACAGACAAAGAGCAAATGCGTCTTGAAAGCTGTAGGTTTCTCCAGCTAGTTTCATTGGCACAAAGTATTCCTTCAGAAAATGAAGGTTTTGCACAAATTATACGCTAACATTGACTTTTCAGTGATTTTTGGTACAACAATTGAAACTGAATTTAAAATAAACTGCAATTCAGTTAAGAATGGTCATCTTCTATGGGGCAAAAAGGAAAAATTTGAAAATCCTTTCCACACATATTTCAAGTCTTAAAAACTTACTGGTGATGGCATTAGCTATTCTTTTCAAGGCTTTAACCTTGAAGAATAACATTTCCTATGTAGGAGAAGACTGGTTTATGAATTTATCACATGCCACTCAGTTTGTGCAACACACTGGGAAAAATATTTGGCTGCATTTACTGTAGGCCTGAAAAATCCCATCCTTATGAAAAACAAAATGCCATAATTTCTTACGATGAAAGTCTGGTCATATAGACAATTATTTATTTCCTTCCAGCACTTTTACATGACATTCAACAGTAGTCTGATATATATGTAATTTGCATATGTATATTTACTGAGAAGAAGATAAATGAGTTCTAATAGTAAGGCTTATACAATTGTAGGAACTAAACTGCAGGTTCCAATTTCTTAAATGTTTTCTGGTTTTCAACTGTAAAGCTGTAACAGTGCAAGATGAGACTTGAATGGAAGGAATGTGACTTGGGTACTCTCTTATTTTAGTTTTCTGTGGAAAACTGTTTATTTTCCTAAACAGCGAGAATATTTGTGACATGGAAGACAAGGCCAACAAAGCTCAACTTGGCTCTCAGATAAAGCTTGAGTGAGGCTTAAAAGACCTAAAGGCTTTGGAGAGTCTCTGTACAACGGGTCCACTTAACATTAAGCAGTAATTTGCACAGAAATTAATCTTGAAAATGAACATTCATTTTATTGCAGTACATAGCAACAGACAAAAAAACTCAAACAATGAAAACTGAATAGTCAAAGAGACCTTTCTAAGGAATCATATAGAAAATTATTTCAATCACTATTTAAATGAGGAGACAGGTGTTCAGTCTGGGCCATAGCAAATGCTTCTGGCTACCATTAGCTTGTGTTTTGGCAGCATGTTCTGACACTGCCTACCTTGTTCAACAAAGGGCCCGTTGGGCAGTATTTCATGCAGAGTGAATGCCAAACAGGCACTCATTATCAAACTCATCTGACAGACACCGTGTGTACACATTAATATAGTGAGGGTACAGAATATAGCTACGCTGGTCTACATCTTCATAAATTAAATGACCTTGTACTCTGTGTTATATTATGTAGCAGAAGGGAGGATTAGTAGAAGCACAGAGCTTTTAGGTGCTACAGTAACATGTACAAATAGATAAATTTTTAATAGAATAATCTCTTACTGAATAAAAAGACAAATACATTTTCACGGATGAGAAAATCAGGTCTCATTAATAATTCCCAAGGGAACTAGAGAAATGGGGACCATTGTTCTGTTCCTGTCCTATTCTTCAGAAAGTACATCTCCACACTACCAACTTGCATTGGATTGCAATAACAAAGACAGATAGTTAGAGCATAGTAATATCAATTTCAGTTGTAATAAGCAGGCTACACCTTTTAAAGCATTATCTTCCTTTTATACCCAAGGAAAATCACAGGCTCCTGTAGACTAGGAACAAATTTACCCTTCTGGCACAAGGTTGCAGAGTCCTTTGTTAGGTTTGTTCTAGAACCATCACCAAATGAAATCCTGTCACCATCTGAAACTGGATATTAGTTTTAGGTGTGCTAGTAGTCTGGCTTGATTCTGAATTCTCTTTTTTTTTTTAATAATAGTAAGTTTTTTTTAATTTAGGACCTTGACATTATATTACAAAATAATACCTGTTACTGCCTAGCATTGCAATAATAACAACAGGAAGAATAAGAATACATAGTGAAGTATGTATTTATTGGCGGGAAAAAAAAAAAGACTAAGGGCAGACAAAGCAACAGTTTTGAGAATTACAAACAAACAAACAAACAAAAGATTACAGTGGAGAATAAATTCTGTTCCAGTTCTGTTGGCTGAAGAATAAGTAAAAAACAGTTTAATTTTTAACACACACACACACACACACAAAATTTGCTCTACATAAAGTCTTTTAATTAGAAAGTAACAAAACACTAGAATGAGGTAACAAAGGATGTGGTAGATGCTCCTTAACTACAGACCATTGTGACCATCTCATATATGCATTTGATCCTACTTTACATCAGAATTATGAAACAGTGACTTCTGAGAAAAACAAATCTCTCCGTCCTTGGAAGTACCAAGCAGAACAAAAATGCCAGACTGAAAGACATTTCTTTTGTGTAGTTTGGTGTTCTCTTTGCTTGTTTTAATTACATCAAGCAAACAACAAGAAAGTGGAAAAAATCATGTAAGCAAATCTAATTCATTAACATGCACCTTCTGAAATACATTTATCTTAAGCAGAGGCCTAACACGATTCTGCTTCAGTTGCAAGTTCTGTTTCCTGCATTAGTGTTATTATGATTGTAGTGAAATTCATCTTCCTTGTATGTTGCTATCTTTATTTTTCACTTAATAGGATAAAGAAGAAAGAGTATTTGTAACTAACACCTACAGATTACAGTGTTAGAAAAGGCTTGAGTGGACAGGAACTTTCATCATTTCAACTATAAATTTATTCTATGTCTACTGGCTATTTGTCCTAGTTGTATTTTATAAGACCGATTACTGATAAAGCTAGTGTATTATAGTTCTGCTGGTCTATTTTCCTTCCCGAAAAAGACTATGTGGACTCATTTTCATTGCCCATTTTAGATTTCACATAACATGGTAGACACCTAGGCTATATTACTTCTAGAATTAATCATATACATTTCAACTAGTTTAATTACTGTATATGTTTCTGTGGTTTGGTCGGGTTTTTTTTTTAATTTTTATTATTTTTTTAAATCTGTATAGATCAACGATAAAATCTTCAAGAGTGTGTAAAGTAGTAGACAACCCTATTCTTGCCTCTTCTTACTACACCTGAATTTCACATACAGGCAGATAATATTTTTTACAAGTTTGGTGTGTTAGAAAATCCTCATTACCATTTTAATTGATTTTTAGCTGTAATTTGATCTTTTACAAGCAGTGCCAAGATATATTTTTATATAAGTTTTCCATTCTTAATGTACTTTATTGTACATGAAGTATTTCATTTGGAGACACCTGAAAAAGGAACACTAAACCCCTAAGGAATAAATATAGCATATTTACCTCACAATATACTGATTTTTCCTTCTGATTCTATTGATAACTACCATCGCAAATTGGCATGAGAGAAGTCACTATTGTAATAGTAATACTTAACTGAGTTGATAAAAATGAACAGTAGGAAGAAAGGACTTCAATTTGAAAGAATTTATTTAGTTATGTGAACTTCACTTCTTACTGAATATCACAGTTGTCATACGCCACACATACATACTGTGTGACTGATAAATTGACTGACTGATATTTGTGAATGAGTAAATTTGATACCAGTCCTGCAGCAGCTCAGGTCACATTTTCTATAATTATCTGCCCAATTTATTTTCCTTATTATTACTTTAGCAGTTATTATTGTTTTAGTTTTAGCTATGATTTGTATTGCATTTAAATATTTTAATTTAGACTCTTTTGACTTTCTGGTCTTGCACACTTTTTTAAAAATAAATTTGGACTGCTATATCTAAGAAGTATACTGAATTTAATTATACTGTAGCTATCACAATTAATATCTACAATGTAATAATGTCTTCAGTCAATTAATTAGAACTATATCAACAATGGTTTTACAAGTCTGTTAACATGACTAGCTATTTTAAAAGCTACTACTTAACCTTGAGAAGTGTTGTCTTTAACGCACATCTGACATTTGACTAAATTACATTGACTGCTAGTACATATTAATACAGTACAGCATCATGTGTCTCCACTAGTCACCCAGCACTTCACTTACATGGAGGGCAATTACTTAGATGTTATGAATGTGATATAAATTTCACTCCATTTTAATTGGTACATTGTTTTCTTTGTTTTGTAAATATGCAGTTGTACCATTAGGGAAGACCTCCAAACTATCATATAGAATTGCCAGAGTAATTATCTGTCAGTTGTACATGGACAAAATAGCTTTAGAGAAATGAATACGTTAGTTGATTAATGCCTTTAAGTCTGTGGATTTTAATCAGTGTAGAGCTGACCGACTAGAAATTCTGTCATTCCTGTGGTTTTGTAATGGCTTACTGATTATCTTCTCAGGTAGTATATTAACAAATATTATCTGACCCCAGTATTTTACTAGAATATCTGTGACACTGTAGAAAAAGCCC